TAAATAAATAAATAAATAAATAAATAAATAAATAAATAAATAAATAATAATAATTCATGTTAGGGCTGGCCTTAGTAGTACAAGACTTTAATACCAGAACCCCTGAGGCAGAGGTAGGATCTTTGTGAGTTACATGCCAACCTGGCCTACAGAGCAGAGTTCCAGGACAGCTGGGGCTATACAGTAAGACCCTGTTTCAAAAAAAAAAAAAAAAAGAAAGAAAGAAAAAGAAAAGAAAAATACACCAAATCATGTTATCCCCTTACTGCAGCTATGGGTCAGAGAGGAAAAAAACTCAGGTTTTCCTACTCCAGACTGACCATCCCAAGCCAACACTCCCCAGTACTGATCTCTATCTGCCCACACCCAGAACTGCTTTATCCTGATGGGATAAGGGGGGCCGCACTCATTACACCATTTTCAAACCCTCCCAAGTTGCTACCACCCATATCCCCATTTGGATAAACAGATGAACAAGCTCCAGGACCTCTCTATTCTCACAGGCAGTAAGGATAAATAAACCCTGTCCAAAATATCAGAATGGAGAAACTGTCCCTGTAGTTTCTTCTAAAACTAAACTGCAATTGCCCTTCAACCTGTGGAGATTAGCTTTCCCCCAGTCCACAGCATAACTACCTAAAATATGTAATTTTAATTTTATTGTATATTAGATCAATGGTACTTTCCTTTTTATTGCTAAGTAGTGTTTCATAGTAGGTACATACTAAACCTTGAATCATTTAACTATAGCTCACGTCTCAAAAAGACAGGAATAGTGAATGGCTCATATCTATAATTCCAGCACTTGAAAGACTGAAACAAGAGGATTGCTTCAAGTTTGTTTGTGTGAAACCCTGTCTCAAAAAGACCAAAACTGAAAAAAGAAAGGAAGACAAGTTAGGCGGAGGAGAAACTGGACACGGAAACGACACAAATTTGCCAGGAATGGTAGCTCCCACCTGGAAGGATAACACAGGAGACTCCTGACTTTAAGGAGCCAGTCTGAGATACACAGCCCGTCTCAAAACACTTGCCTGGACGACAATACGACAGTCTTCAAAGAAGTCTGCACTGGGGACAACTGAAAAATTGTTCCAAATAGATTTTGTTTCACTTGAACTGACCTCTAGCCAAAAGATACAAACAGAAATCCTACAAAATGTTCCCTCACTAAATCCTCTGTCTCTCTGTCTGAATGTCTCTCTCTCTCTTTACCACCCTCCCCAATCGGCCCCCACCAAAATCAATACTGAACCCCGAGTCTCCTCTGATAGCTTCAGTGTCTACACTTCACTGTACCTTTACTCCATGTTCCTAAAGTTGGAGTTGCTGGGAAGATGCACAAAGCAACAGACAGGACAATGGATTCTCAACCCTGGGTCAAAACCAGTCTTTGTTCGGGTCCCTTGTTTGCACTTTCCCATCTACGTAATGCGCAAGACCCCTTCTTCCGGAGGCTCTGGGAGACTCGGGGACGATATCAGTGCCTGACAGGAGGATAGTCTGTTACCTCTCTCCATTCCTCCCCGCTTCCCTAAGCTCATTGTCTGTTCACTCGGCCACAAGTGCTCCTCCCTGGCAAACGGCCGTGGATAACCAGAACACACTCCCATTTCAAACAGAGCAATCACCCTATTCCACCCTGCAAAAAGGAAACCGGCTCAGCCTCCCGACCCAGCCGCCTGCGCGGGAACCTATCTAGGACAGCGCGGCAGCAGGATGGGCTGCTGCTATCATCCCCAGGGTGAATGCCAACACCTAACGGTGTTTGGGGTAACGTCTCCCGACTGACGCCCTTGGAACCCTCGCGGCGACCCAGAGCACTTTCCGATGCACACTCCTGGCTTAACAATCCCCAGGTAGGAAACAGCTTCCCCGGGAGGAGAAAGAGAAGCAAGAATTGCCAAGTCTGGACTCGCCTTCTCCGCGGAAGCCACGCGACAGAGGTAGGGCGCGAGGACCGAGGGGTCCTGGAGTGGGCGGCGCAGGCTGAGGCGCGCACTCACCTTCCGTGCTCCTCTTCGCCTCGTGGTAGCGCTCCCACAGGTAGCGTTTCATGTCGGCAGCGGCCGGGGCAGCCGGGGCGGTGCACAGGCGCCGAGCACAGCAGGCGCGCGGCCGTCCCCGAGCCACAGTCCCGCCGCCGGGCCGCAGCCCCGCCGCCGCCCTCGCCCCGGCCCCGCGGGCCGCCGCGGCCACCGTGGCCATGCTGTCACCGGGCTGCCAGCGGCACGGACAGCCACCTTGGGGAGCCTCCGGCGCGCTCGCCGGCTGTTCCTGCGCCTGTGCGAGGGGCGGCGCGGCCCCAGAGGCAGTCTCGGAGGGGCGGGGCCTCGGAGGGGCAGGAGGCGGAGCCAGGGGCTGGGCCAGGACAGCAAGATGGGCGGGGCCTGGGCGGAGTCAGGGGCGAGGCCTTGGAGAAACGGGGTGGGGCGGGGCCGTCGCCGCCGGGGCTCCAGGCTGGGGCTGCTGCGGTCACTTCCTGACCCGCGAGGCGCTGGGGTGGCGGGGCGGTGGTGCTGAGGCCACATGGACTGGATGATTCGTCTGCGACCGTGTCGCCGCCCGCAGATCTCCACTCTGCCTTCCGTGATGGCCCAATTCTGGTTGCACTGATAATGGACTCACTATGTAGCTCTGCCCTGGTCCCAGTCTCTGGAAGGCGACCTTGCCCCGTGTCAAAGACTTCCGCACTGTGTCCTGGATCTCAGGTGCGTGTCCTGAGACGCAGCCTGGACTCATCCAAACCTGCCTTTTAAAGAGTTGTTGGGCCGAGGTCCCACAAGGTCAAAAGTCGTCTGCAGTACCCTACCCCTGAAGACTCCAGTACGCATAAATTTCTCCTACCGTTCACTTCCTCTGGAAACCTGGATTCCCAGCTGCAGAGAGATCCTTGGAACTGACTGTTAGGCCGCTGCCCACACTAACAGCACGCGTGGTACCTGCGCAGCTCACCTGCTCAACTGCACTTGTTCCAAGCTTTGTAGCTCCACCGATAGCCCACAAACAGTAGCCGCCCCAGCAGGCGCCATTTCTGTATGCACTGAGTCCGATCTGGCTCCTACCTTCCTGAGAAGCACTGGGCCACAGGAATCTCCAAACTGCCCCTGGTGACCGCTGAGGGGGAGGTAAAGTGGGGGGAGTAGCTGGCATTTGTGGAAAAAGGTGGGGAACGTTTTTTTAAGTAGTGGGCTGGAGGAGTCAGATGTTCCATGAAAGATGACACCCAAGCTAGTTCCCGGCAGATAATAGAAACCATTCATGGAAGGCTTGCTGTGTATTTTATCTCGTACGATTTTCTCAACTACCTTGAAAGGTAAGCACCGTGTCTCTCATTTTATACATAACGAAACTGAGGACAACGGAAGTGAAATTGCTTGCGTAAAGTCACCCCGCTGAGTCTCCCTGTCTGCTGGGTGGTAGGGACGAAGGTAGCTAGAAAGTGATCCCTAACTGTTACACGTTAACTTTTTATGAATCACTGATTAAATGGAGGATAATATGCTGCGCAAATAGATATGATATCCAATCCATGAGCTCTGATACTGAAAACATACTTTATGACCTGAAAGCGTTTCAGTTCCTATCTTTTCTTATTTATACTAATAAAAAGTTTTGGTGATAACAATCATCAATTTTGCTTAGATGAAAAAAAAAATTTAATTCAAAATAAACAATAAAAATGTAAAAAAAAGTTAAAATTGGCAAGATTGTTTCTGTATATTTTCCATCAGGTTTGTCCTACTTACAAGAGAAATGTGAATCACTTCAAACCTGCTCTTTTTTTTTTTTTTTTTTTTTTTTTTTACAAAAATTAGGCACAACATTATAAGGAACTAAAAAAACTGAATCCTTAGACCTAGATAGTGACCACTCTTGAATGTTTAAAAGAAAATATCCAATTTAAAAATCCAAAATAGCACTCAGGAGGCAGAGGCAGGCAGATCTCTATGAGCTTGAGGCCAGCCTGGTCTATAAAAGAGTTCCAGGATAGCCAGGGTTGTTACACAAAGAAACTCTGTCTCGAAAAAACTAAACAAAAAATCAAAATAAGTTCCAGGGAGATGGCTTAGTCTGCAAAGAGCTTGGTATGTGCACCAACACCACCATAAAAGCCAGGCGTGACAGCCTGTTCCTATGGCCTCAGCACAGGGAAGGCGGAGACAGGAGAATCCCTGGAACTCCCTGACTAGCCAGGTTGGTAGAATCCATGAACTCCAGGTTCAGTGAGACCTCTGTAAGGGGGAAAGTGTGAGGAAAACACTGACATTGACCTCTGGCCTACACACAAACACATATGGACACACATGTACTCTATACACACACACACACCCCTTCAAAGAGAAATGAGAAAAACTTAATACAAGAGTCCCAAAATTTTTATTCCTTATCAGTATCACTTGAGATCTTCAACCATTTTGATTTTATTTGAGATCTTTTCGGCAATACAGACTTCTGAGGTATGAAGCTGTACTGGGGGCTGTGAAAAAGCCATTTTTCTGATATGAGCTCAGATATGGACTCCCAGGGATTTGCACTAAGAGTTGTTCTCAGGGGTTGATGGTAAATCGCAGTGATTGGGCCATCTCCACTCTCACATTCAGCAGAAAAAAATCTCTGCCTTGAAAGTCCTGCTAAGCCATTCTTTTCACCAAGAGATAACGTCTTAATGGGATAGTCTTTCCTTTTCCTCAAAGTTTGCTTTCTTGGAGCATACCACATTTGAGTATGTTGTGCCTTCTGTTGTGTCTTTTCCTCAGCAGACGTGCACAGAATTGGAGTCAATGTCTTCTTCCCTCTGCCAGGAATATATATTCCTGCTTTATCTAAAACCAAAATCTCTGTGCTTTTAGCTGTCTGCAGCTTACTTATTTTCATACACATTGCAGTGTTCACCGTGTCAGAACTCTGAGCGCTGCAGAAGTCTAACTTCGGCAAGTTCTCCCATAAGAAAAAGCAATTCTTAGTTCCTTCGGGGTATAGCTGGCTCATGCCTTGAGGCCAGCACCTCCTGCCCCGGAACCTCTGGATTTCCCTCAGAAGGCTGCAAAAGATCAGACTTGTCAAGTGGCTATATATTAACACAAGTAATCAAAAAGCCTACTTCTCTTTGAGACATGCAACAGAAACTCACTGTAGTATTCCCTGGATTGAAGCGTGAGAAGAGCCCAGGTGAGTTGACCTTAAATCAAGTGACCTATACAAACAGCCAACTGCCTCCATTATGGCATTATGGCAGAAGCCACCTGACAACAGCTGACCTGCTGGATAGTAGAGAAAAGGGAACGTTAGAATTTTTTAATTACTAACTTTATACACTTAAAAGATTTATGTGCAGGGTGTGGTAGCACACACCTTTAATCACAGCACTCAGGAGGCAGAGGCAGGCAGATCTCTGTAAGTTTGAGGTTAGCCTAGTCTACAGAGAGTTTTAGGACAGCCAGGGCTACACAGAGAAACCCTGTCTCCAAGAAGAAAGATTTATAAAGGTGGCACTGGAATATCATCTGTCATAATACCCTGCCAAAATCATTTCACCTGTGTCTTGCATGAACTAACAGTCAAATACAAATGAGAGGACACTGGGCCTGGAAGAAGGGTAGAAGCTGACTTTGTTTGTTTGTTTTGGTTTTTTGAGACAGGGTTTCTCTGTGTAGCCTTGGCTGTCCCTGACTCGATTTGTAGCAGGCTGGCCTCAAACTCACACAGATCCACCTGCCTCTGTCTCCTGAGTGCTGGGATCACGGCATGCACCACTGTGCCCGGCCAAAGATTCATTTATTATTTATACAGTATTCTGCCTGCATGTATGTCTGCAAACCAGAAGAGAGCACCAGATTTCATTATAGATGGTTGTGAGCCATCATGTGGTTGCTGGGAATTGAATTCAGAAGCTTTGTAAGAACAGCCAGTGCTTTTTTTTTAAATAATATTTTGTTTTTATTTTTATTAATTACATTTTATTCCCTTTGTATCCTACCTGTAGCTCCCTCCCTCTTCTCTACCCATGCCCCTCCCCTAGTCCACTAATAGGGAAGGTCCTCCTCCCCTTCCATCTGACCCTACTCTATCAGGTCTCATCAGGAGTCAGCCAGTGCTCTTAACCTCTGAGCAACTCTCCAGCCCTCAAAAGTTGACTTAACACTCTTCAGAAATGATGATATTGACACTAGAAGGAAGAGATAGAAAAAGAAAGGGGGGGGGGAGATGAGATAAGATCAAAACTATAAGCTAAAAAAGACAACTAAGTGCAACCCAAGCACCTCAGTAAATTCTGGAGAACAGCTCAGGGATAGAATACTTGCCCTGCCAGGCTCTGCACTCCATTCACAACAATAACACACACACACACACACACAGTAGGATTCTGGAGTTGAAATCAAGAAGTTATAACTGATACTACTACTACACTACAAGAATAGAATATGTGAAGATTATTATTGATTATTGGCTATACAACAGATAAAAATCTTACATCCTAGTTCAAATCTTACATCCTAGTTCAGTTTCCCAACTTGACTATTGTATCGTGGTTGCATGGTGGAATGTCCTTGCACCTAGAAGACATGCTTGGAAGTATGCAGAGACAGAACTGTCATATCTGTAACCAACATTCCCTTGGTTTTTTGTTTGTTTGTTTTGTTTTGTTTTTCAAGACAGGATTTCTCTGTGTAGCCTCAGCTGTCCTGGACTCTGTAGACCAGGCTGGCCTTGAACTCACAGAGATCCACCTGCCTCTGCCTCCCAAGTGCTGGGATTAAAGGCATGCACTACCACTGCCTGGCCTGCAACCAACTTTCAGTGATTCAGAAGTGTATGTGTATGTATGTATGTATGTATACAGCATAAATGTGGTGTTAAAAGTGTTAAAAGCTTCAGAAACCCAAACTAGAATTTGCAGGCCATGTGTTTCAGGAAGGAAGACAGCCCCCTCCAGTCCAAGGGTCTACTCTTCAAAGGACAGAGAGACCTGGGGCAGCATAAAAAGATCTGGAGAAGAGAGGGCATTCATACCTAAGTCAAAACTAAAATGTATGGGCTGTCCAGGTTACTCGCTAACTTTTGGATCAAAGGATCTACTTCTGTTAGCAGAGGGCTCTGGCTGAGGTGAGGATTTTGAAATTAAATAGGAAAAAAACTGACTCTCCCTCCTGGCACCATTAATTTCTTCTTCTGAACCTGACCTACAAGGCTGGCATTTCCTTTTAAAGAGAAAGCTCAATGAGAGGGAGGTAGCGTTGTGTTCATCTGTCATTCTTCATCCAAAATAAACTGTTCAGTACAGAGAGCTCAGCATACACAATGGGAAATAAAAGCCGCATTTCTATTCTTTTCTCACACTGCAATGTTTTCTCAATAGCGAATCTGCAGCATTTATCAAAGAGTGATGAGATTGCTGCTACAGAGTGAGCTCAGAACATAGATTGCAGGAGGCCTGTGTCAGCTGGCATGGGATCTACAGCTAAGGTTTTTACTGGAAACTGGAGCTATTAATACCCTGAACAAAAGAGATTCAATTTAGTAATAAGTGCCTCACAAAAGTTATCATGAGATGGAAGATGCAGAATCCATCACCTTCCTACAGATGTGACATTTCAATACTTAAACTCTAATACCAACGTAAGAAGGAAGATGCCAGGACACACAAGCTAGCAATCATCATTGTTCATACATTGTCTAAAACAGAATCTGAAAAGTCAAGTAAAAATAATTGCTTTTAACGGGAAAAAGAATTATTTTAGTTGTTTCTTTCATCGTTAGCTTGCAGCAGCGCCATCGTTTCTGTGGGGACACCCAGGACACACTGTAATATACCCAGGGGTATCCTGTTTTATTCATGAAGCCCCCCAATACAGCTAGTATGATAACAGAAAAAAAAATAAATCCCAAGTACCCTGTTCCTAAAAATTCTCAGTCTGTTTGAGAAGTCAGAAATGCACACAGTGGAAACAAGACTAATGGGAAAGGGACGTTGAACTCTGTGTGTCTCCAACCCAAAGTATGATTTAGGATGATTATGTTAGAGATCTCAGTGAAAGCTATTCCAGAGGAATGACTCTTGCTGACACTCACTGCCCTGGCTCTCAGTTGTTCTGATGGTCACATCACAAATCTTGTCCTGGTGTGGGACCTGTCAGACTCTCATACCCTCCTCATGCCCTCCCCCACTGCTTCTGCACACTGACCACAAAGACCTTTCTGGTTCCTTCCAGCCTCAAATATTCTTTTCCTGCTGCCTATAGAGCTCTTCCCAGTCCTGGACCTTCCTTACTAAGAAACTCTTCCTCCTGACCCTTCAGTCCCAGCATCACTTCCTGAGGAGCATCCCCTGCCTGCCCATCCTCCAGAGGAGGATTTCCCAGAATACCCTTTTCCTGACTATACTGAAGGTGTTCTATATTACTACAGCTATGTGTCAGCTGTAGTCTTCAAGCAGCCTGCACCTTCTAAGCTAAACAACTGTGTGCTTAGTTCTCCCAAAAGGCAAGCTTTGCTCAAGGCCCAGCTGGTCTCTATCTTGCTCGTTGCCGTCTCCCAGCCACAAAAACAGAAACTGACATGTAAGAGGCACAGTAAATGCTTGTGGAATGAATTATTAATAATAACTAAACAATTGAAAGAACTGTCGGATGAGAACATAAGAAGTAATTAGCACTCAAATCTCTGCAGTACCCATACTTGCTTTTCTTTTTCACTTTGTGGACAGGGTTTCATGTAGTCCAGGCTGATCTCAGACCCTCTGAGGAACTGAGGATGACCTTGGACTATAGATGTATCCCACATACTGAGTTTATGCAGAGCTGGGATGGAACCAAGACCTTTCTAAAGAGAGAAGGTAAATCAGAATCAGCTAAGGTATTTCCCGCCTCATGTGTGAGCTTGGTTGACAAATACAATGGTGGTGAAGAGAAATCAACATGGAGTTGGAGAGATGGCTCAGAGGCTAAGAGCACAGGCTGCTCTTCCAGAGGACCCGGGTACAATTCCCAGAAACCACATGGCAGCTCACAACTGTTTGTAAGTCACACCCTCACACAGACATATGTGCAGGCAAGACACTAATGTACATGAAGTGAAAATAAATTATTGAAAAAATACAGACAATAATAATGATAATAATAATGACAAACAAGTAAATACTTAATTAGGAATAAGGAACTATGTTAGGTACCAAGTAAAGCTTACTAGGTAAAATAAAATGTATAGGAAGGTTTAAAGAAGAAGAGCTGAGATAAGTTACATAAGATGAACAGGGAATTCTTCTCTGGGACACTGTTGGACAATCCTACAAAAAGGACCAAGGAGATTTTCTTTCTCTTTTAGATTGTCAATTAGATGCTGCTGTCTGGTGGTGACTGCAACAGATAAAACCTGGCTTTCACACAAGTTTGTCCCTTCCATGGGACAGAGGCATCAGAGCTGGTAAGGCACTGCCAACAGGACAGTGACTTGAACTGACTTCTCTGACACAGTCCTGTTGTTGGTTCCTTATGCAGTCTGCTCGCAGGGTTACACTTTGATCGGTTAAACACAACTGATGCCAAAAAGACAGTCTCTGACATTACCCTTCTACAGGGTTCTCACAGTAAGGTGCTGGTACACAGCCCAGCCAGGGGCGCCTATGGCTCATCTTACTAAACAAGACTATGTTAATCGGAATGTCAAAGAATTTTCCTCATTAACTTTGTCTCTTAAGCCGAGTGTGGTGGCTCAGGCCTTTAGTTCCAGTATTCTATATGAGCAGAACTATATGAGTTTAAGGATATCCAGGGCTACACAGAAAAACTATGCTTCAAAAAAAACCAGGACAGGGTTTCTCTGTGTAGCCTTGGCTATCCTGGAACTAGTTCTGTAGACCAGGCTGGCCTTAAACTCACAGAGATCTGACAGCCTCTGCCTCCCAAGTACAGGGATTAAAGGTGTACACCACCACTGCCCACTAAAACTTTTGTCTCTTAATGTTCCCCCATAAAGTTGCAATCAAGGAGACCAAGGGTCAACTTCTGAACTCCCACTGCTAATGAAAAGTGTCTCAAGCTCTTAAGATAAATCATCAATTTTGCTTATTGCTATGATGAAGCTGCCAAGAGTTCTTTGCCTATCTGCTTCCTCTCATAAGGGCAAAACAGCCCTGGTCATTTTCCTAACGCCAGTAGGAATTACAGCACAGCTAACAGCCTCACTTTTTGTCTAATACACATGCCACTTCCCTCACACAGCACAGTCCAGGGACACATGCTCTCGTCACAGGGCTCCTACTTCCTGAGTCTGTGCCATCAGTTACTCCATCCTCCTCTGAGGCCCTCTAACTGCTGCTCCTCGCTCATTACTCTTTTGTTAGCTTGAAGCAGTTAGTCTGCCCCAAACTCCTAACAGTCGTTAGGGTGACCTTTCTGGGAGGTGAGGATGAAAAAGTAGGAGTTAGAGCCATGACTACTAGGTAATAAAGACAATGAAGTTTCAAGATGGCTGGCTTCTTCCTCACCCTCCTGACCTGAACAGCTTTTTCAAAAAGGCCTTATTGCCCTGTTCTTATACCAATGGGGCCTGCAACATAAGTTCAAGGCCAGATCAGAACATGTCTACACAACAGTGATGGCTCACTCAGTCATCATCCTTTCTTCAAATTGAACAAACCCTAAAATAGTAAAGGAAGACCCTTCAGAGACTTTAAAAGCTCCCAGCCCTAAAAAAGAGGCTGAGCTTCAGTTCCAGAGTCTGTCCATCTCCCAAACACACAAACACCCCACACACCTCACCCCCAAAAATCTCCCACCCACCACTCTCACCTCTTCCCCCTCTGGTCTGCTATATGTCTCTTCGTGCAGGTTATATGTGTGTGTTCCCTCACCTAATAAAAGCCTTTCTTCAATTGATGGAAAAAAGAAAAAGAAATTGGATCATACAGCACTGAAAATGGACTGCAAATTTGAGACATTTTGTACAGACTTATTTCAGGAGTAACAATGCTGTGCTGACACCATTACGGACGCCTACTTTCAGAAGTAAGTGGATGTCTTTTACTTCCAATGTAGGGTAGAGACACAGACTGTCATAGAACAGACCTTGCGGAGAAATCGGACTACACAATACCAATTCCTCTTCCAAATATTTTCTCTATTTTTCAAATCTGCATTTTTCAGTTTTAGACAAAACACTTCACCACCCTCAGCCTGTCCGCCTGGAAAGGTGCTGTTCGTTCACTGGAGGTCTCATGCTCTTGAGGGTTCTCATGAAGGCAAGGCAAGCACTCCTATAGCACTGAACTACAACCCTAATCCCTGGGTTTTGTTTGCTTGTGTGTTTGTTTTTGAGACAAGTTCTCACTATATATCTCACATTGTTTTTGAAGCTTCAGTTCTCCAGTTCCCATCTTGAAAATGCTGGGATTGTAGGAGAGGATTAGCATCCTGGCTAGAAAACAATGGAAAGTGAATAGATGACAGCAAAAACTGAAGGAGCACGGCCAATAAGATGGCTCGTATTTCTGAATGCTTGGACCCAGCTGTTAAACTGTCTGGTAGGACTAGAGGTGTGGCCTTCTTAGATGAGTGCGTCACTAGGGGTGGGCTTTGAGATTTCAAAAGCCCAAACCAGGCCCAGTCTCTCTCTTTGTCTCAAACTTGTGAATCAGATGCAAGCTCTCAGCTACTCAACTGCAGTGCCGGCCTCCTATCATGCTTCCTATCATGATGGTCACAGACAAACCCTCTGAAACTGTGAGCACACCTCTAATCAAATGTGTTCTTTCATAAGACCAAGGAGTCTCTTTGAAGCAAAAGAAACGTAACTAAGACAGCAGGTGAAGACTTGCTGCGAAGTCTGCCAACCTGAGTTCAATCATCCGAACCCACACAGAACTAACAAGAGAACTAACTCCTGCAACATGTCCTGTAACCTCCACACACAGATAGTGGCACACACATACACACACACAATATATGCAATTTAAAATTTTGTTTTTAAAAATAGTATGTATGTAGAACAGGAGTTGCTTCAATGAAGCCATTTTTAAGATAAACCCATGGCAGCTCAGTCTCCAAGTGGGTTCCATTGTAATGGGAACAGGGACTGTCTCTGACATGAACTCAGTGGTTGGCTCTTTGATCACCTACCCCTGAGGGGGGAGCAGCCTTACCAGTCCACAGAGGAAGACAATGCAGCCACTCCTGATGGATCTGATAGACTAAGATAAGAAGGAAGGAGAGGAGGACCTCCCCTATCAGTGGACTGAGGAAGGGGCATAGGAGGAGGAGAGGGAGGGTAAGATTGGAAGGAGATGAGGGAGGGGGCTACAGCTGGGATACAAAATGAATAAATTGTAATTAATAATTTTTTTAATTAAAAAAAAGATAAGCAAAGCACGCAGCCAATCCAGGAAGAGCTGCTGTTTCAGGAGCAGCTTGGAGCAATTACCTAGTTTACACAAGGTGTCGCTGAGGCTTATGCTCAGCTGCTTCTTGACAAGCTTGCAGATGGCCAAAGAATCTGCATTCTCCTTGATTTTTATTACTTGTTTATAATATTCAATCGCCTGCTTCCTTTGGGAGCTAGAAAACAGAAATTCAGTTACAGAATTACACTGGAGAAATGTGACCTACATCCATTCTACAAACATTCTCCAAATGCTGGCCTGAGGAAGGGGGAGCAGAGGAGAATAACAGAGACCATTGGCCTCTCTCACAGTTAGTTGAAAGGGGAGAAAATGAAGCCAGAGTACACTTATCTAACACTGGGCGTTTTTTTTTAAGACAAGAATCTCAGGATGACACCAAAACTCCATACATAGCCAAGGATGACTTTGAACACCTGCCTCCCGTCTTGGGCTCTGGGATTATAGTCATGTATCATTCCACACAGTTTCCTCCTGGGATTGAACAAAGGCCTTAGCACATCTCCCAGTTTAAGTCTCATCCTCAGCCCCTATTGTCGTTGTTGTTGTCATTACTACTATTATTGCAGGCTAAGTACCAAGGCGAGGGCCCCTGCGGTGGTTTGAATGAGGATGGCCCCCACAGATTCATATGTTTTAATACTTGGTCCCCAGCTGGTTGAACTGTTTGAGAAGGATTAGGTGGAGAAGGTGTGTCACTGAGGGCAGGCTTTGAGGTTTAAAAAAAACTGGAACCATTCTCCTTCTTTCAGATCAATGCATGAGTGGTCGGCTGCCCCTGCTGCCATGCCTTTGCTCCACCAGCATGGGCTCTAGCCCTCTGAAACCGGAAGCGCAGCTAAAGGCTTGCCTTATACATTGACTTGGTCATGGCGTTTTGTCACAGCAATAAAAAGACAGCCTCACCCTCTTGAGGGCTCATCCTCAACCCCTTGAACATGAGCTGTACCCCTGGACCAGAGCTCTGGACTGCAATTTTGGAAACTCTTCAAGGTGATGGTAGGTTCACTCATTTTTAAGCCTGGGTTGCAGCTGAAGGCTGCGGTGAAGCAGCAAGTCAGGGAGAGCGGTTAGACCAGACGAATGTCCTGCACTCAAGCGCTCTGCTTCCCAACTGGAAGTGCTTCTCCTGAGGGGAGTGTGAGGGGGCTCTCGCAGAGTCTGCTGCTCTACTGCCACCTGCTGTGGAGGAGCAACAGAACCACACCCATGTCAGAGACACTACATGCATCTAGCATGGTTGGGCAGCCGATCATGGTCCTGTGAGGAAGCTATTCCTACTGCCCACCTCACCAAACAGCAAGTGGATAAGATCCCAAGATGGTAAACACTTGTTCCACCTCACAGTTACTCAGCAATAGAAATAAAATCTTGAATCCAGCAGTGAGCCAGAAACCCACCACCTTACCTAGTTCCTCCTTTATCTGAATTAATCTTTACCTTTTAAATACCATCCAGAAAGGGCCTGGGCTGATTTATACTCAAGTACTACAAATTACTGTTAGGCCTCAAAGAAACCCAAGACAAATGGCTAGCTGAGGTGTCTATTAACATATCAAAGAAAACTCTGGCCCCCAGGGTCTCCCAGCATCTTTCAGCATTACAACTACCTGTTACCGAGTCCTGGCTCCTCAGCACTTCTCACTGTAAACCCCTCCAACCCCTGAGATTTGATTCCCTTCCTCCAGCTTCCCTTTCCTATATAACCTTAGTCAATGTGGCTAAAGGCTTTTTTGGCTTCTTTCTTGGTCTTCCACTTAAGGCGCTTGGTCCCCCCTCTTGCCTGCTCTCTTCTCTCTTCTTCCTTTCTTGGCCACACCTACCCTCCTCCTGTCTTCCTCCTCTCCTCTCATGGTTCAGTCTGCTGCTCATGTTCAGTCTGGACTCCTCTAGATGCCTCCGGTTCTGCTCTCCCTCATATCTAAATAAAACCTTCCCTTCAACCATGCCTGAGGGCGATCATGTCCTCATTTCCATCTGATTACTTATAGGCATTCATCTACTGATGAGAGAGGAGGGAAAATAGTCTTAGAGAAAGTGAAAGACTGAGGTAGAAAAGGACACCAGGACCCAAGGAGGGGAGGGAAGAGGAACTCCAAACCCTAGACTCAGTGAGTAACTTGACAACTGAACAGCGAGGACATTCCTGACTCCACTAAAAAAAGGCACTGTGGGGCCCAGGCACTATTGGCTCTCAGGCTTCACAAAGAAACTCCTGCCACACTAGCCTGCAGCCAGCAAAAACAGTCAGCTCTAGACATGCTCACATCAGGGCCCTGCAGAGATCCCTACGACTCTCTTCTACACTTAGATGTGTGAGGAGCTGAGGGCAGAACCACATCTTAAAGGCTACTGGAGTCAGGGAGACAGCAGGCGAGCCTGACTTGAGGCATGGTGTGGCCTCTGGCCTCAGTCACACAGACACACAAAGCAGTGGATGGGGTCCTGCAGACAGCAGCCAGGACCTAGGCCTGCACAGAGGCTGTAAAGACACACCCACTCACAAGCCTGTCAGGGACACTGGGGAACCCTCACAGTGAGAGCACTGGACCTTGTGCCCTACCCACTGCCAAACCCTCTGCTTTGTTTTCAGAATGCCTTGCAATAGATGCTCTGACAAAGACAGCAGGACAGAACTCTCAGGAAGGACACATCCCCACTCAGTTTATGAACAGGACTAGAGACAAAGAAGTAAGATGGCCCTGATAGGTCAGTGCACACCCCAGACATTAGAGAATTGGGAGAGGGACACATTTCTTAAAATTGTCCGTAAAAACTTACTTTTCCTTATCTTCTGTTGAAAAAAAAAGCAAATCTGCTAAAAATTCCATAATTTCTCCAACTAGTATGCTTTTATTGCCAAATAGACATTTTCTGATATATAAGCACTCTTGAAAGCTCAACTGTGCGAGGGGCACATTTCCAGCAGCCAACCTGAGAATGAAACACAAGCTTGTGGTTACCTGAGAATGAAACACAGGCTTGTGGTTACCAGGCATGAAGAACGGGCCACATTCACTGGGCCAGCAACAACGCTCATAAAATGCTTTAAGAACAGTTTGTTACGGGGGGGGGGGGGGGCCAAGAACCTCAAAAGCACTCAGAAGTGTGAGTGTGTGTGTGTGTCTGTGTCTGTATGTATGTGTTTGTATGTATACAAGCATGTGTGACCTGTGTCTTTAGGAGGAAGCAGTTCTAGGGATTCAACCCAAAGTCTTGAGCATGCTAGCACCTGCTCTAGCACTGAGCTACTTCCACCTGTCCCCAAAAATAGCTTCATAAAGAAACCAGAGTAGCCAGGAATGTTAGAACATTCCTATTATCCCAGTATTTAGGAGGCCAAGGCAGGAGGACCATGAGCTCAAGGCCAGCTTAGTTACATAGTAAATTTCAGGGCAGCCTCAGCTACCTGGCAAGATCTTGACTTTAAAAAAAATTTTTTTTCCAGAAAAGAAAGAAACTAGAGCACTTCTCAACCTCTGCACTATAAACACGTGGGCAGGAAAATTCCTTGTGCTGGGCCTGCCCTACACATTGTAGGCTGCGTCCCTGACCTCCACCTTTAGATGCCAATAAAAATGCCCCTGCCAGTCATGTTAACCAGGTAGGAGTCCAGATATTGCCAAAAGTGCCTGGAGGAAGGCCCCAGACCACCCATGGCTGAGATGTACTGTGCTGAAAGACAAACACTCCAATGTTGAGCATTTAACCAAATGGGTAAGGTGGCATATGTGATAACCGGGACAGATCAAATATAAATATAAGCAGGCATTGTGGAGACAGGGTCTCATGTTAGCCTAGATGGCCTTGACATTTTTTTGAGGCTGAGGACTTGAATTCCTCATCCTCCTGTCTCTACTTCCCAAGCGCAGGGATTACAGGCATGCTTCATTCGGCCCAACTTATGCTCTTGTGGGAATTGAACCCAGGACTTCATACATGCAAGGCAAGCACCCTACAATTGAGCTACTTCACCAACCCCTAAGCATATTAATAAAAAGAACAGAAGCTAATACAGAAAGCAAGAAAATTAAGAAAAAAAAATCACACTTACATGAGAACACCTTCAGTATATTTCATGGTAGCTTGATCACGGGTATTATCAGCCATGGACTTGGAGATTTCAGTAGCATATTCCAAAATATGATTTTCTTTTAAGAAGTACTCAGGCGCCGATTTTGCCAGGTTATACATCACTTTGACTACAGGAAATAAATGTTGGCAAAGAATATAATGCTTAAGGTTTTGTTTATCCAAGAAGAGTCAGAATGTCAACTAGTGTTTAGTATCATTTCATCATGCCAAGAGCCAGGGTTTTTCTGGACAAGTCAACCACTGACCTATAGTGAATAGGGTTTGTTTCCTAGACAGCATCTGTGTGCATGTGGCAGGCATTGGGCCAACGAACTAAGACAATACTTGGAACCTGAAGGTTGGATCTGTTGGAGGAAAAGTGGTATAGGTGCATATGAGTGTAGGGGGCAGGGAGGAGAGACAGACAGACAGAAAGACAGACAGAAACCAGAAGATAGCTTTAAGTTTCGTTCCATGGGTGCCGTGCCCTCCATCTTTTTTGTTTGTTGTTTTTTGTGACAGGGTCTCTCAGCGGCCTGGAATTTACTAGCAGGTCAGGCTGGCTGGCCAGCACCTCCGGGAAGTCACCTGTCCTTGCTTGTTCAGCATTACAAGCACACACTACTGTGCTCACCTTTTTAACATGGCTTCTGCCTCTGCCTCCCAAATGCTGGGACTAAAGATATGCACTACCACACTTGGCTGTGAACAGTTTTCTTTAAAACCACTGAGTCTGCCCCCTTCCCAGGGAGAAAGGGCCCCTGGGTTTGCTCTCTGACTGAAAGGGTAGAGTGGCCTCTGCAGGTGTCTGCCTACCTTTCTGCTTCATCAGTTCCTGGTTAGTTTTTAGGTCACTTAGTGTAAACTGCAGCAGATTTGACCACACTTTTTGAAAATATGTCAGTCCTTTCTGAGTCATCCCGATTTCAAGATATAATTCTCCAATGGCATTCTGAGCCTTGAAGAGCATTTCTATCATGTATGGGTTCTGTACAAAATGACAAAGGGAACCACTTTTGAATACAGACGGTTGGCAGTGACAGCTACCAACACCCACTATATAATTTCTCAGGGAAATTTAAATATTTATTATGCAAATGGCTATGATAGAATCTTTATAAGGAGACATGTCAAACTAAGAATCCATCAAGGTTTCCCCAGATCATTAGTTAATGATAACAAGTCTTCATGTGTGACAAATTTGTAATGTAAAGTCTGCTTCGCGCCTGTAAGGCATGAGGTATGCTTAGAATTTATCGGAGTCACAGATAAGCTGGAGGCCTCCTGCCCCTCTCCCCTCAGGTGCTGCTTGTCTTGAAACTTCGAAGGCTGGAAGGTTACAGGTGTCCTACTATGTGACTGAGACCCTGATCAGAAAAGGAAGCAAGCCCCAAATGATTCATTAGATAAACCAATAACACAGGGAATCCAGGAAGGGAGCAAGTCCAAAGGACAGAAATGTCTCAGGATTGGGGACTTTAAAAACAGTTGTCATGTCCCAAATCAGTACCCCAGCCATTTTAGCCATTTCTCTACGCTGCGACTCTTTCTGTTGAATTGTATACTTAAAACTGCTTTGTTTTCACTAGTTACTTAAATGTGTTATCTTATTTCCAGTTGGCCTAGCATATTTATCTTTTTAACTGAAACTTCAGAAACTTAAACCATTTCTCAGTCAAATGAGGCATTCACCAGAGAAAACTATTTGGAAAGGGTTAGGTCAACAGCTGGCCGCCACTGCATGAGTGTTTGGGCCTCCAGTGTGGCCCGGAGCCCTTCTCAGGGTGAGCTTTTAAACACAGAAACCTCATCCTGACTTGACACACCTCAGTTAGCAAGAGCAGTTAGCCAGAAGCAGAACTACAAAACCCACAAGGCAAGGTTAGCATACTTAGGGACTTTCCTAGAACTGTGGACTTTGATGGATTGTAACCTTTTGTCCTCATTTTGGCAGGTGTTTCTGCCTACATTCTGGGTTGCAAGGCATCAATAGTACTCCCATCACGGCATCAGTTGTGCTAAGGTCTGGGGTGCTGTTATACTAACAATGCACAGAAGACACTGGATAGACGGATGCTAGATGTACCTCAGTGGTAGAGCACTAGCATTCAGGAGGTCTTGGGTTCAATCCCAGTACTGGTATGTGTACTGTATGAGCCAGTGAGAAGGTTCTGGGGGTAAAGATATTTGCCTGAGTTCAATCACTGGGAAACATAATGGCAGAAGAAGATAACTGACTTAGTGGTGTGCTACATGCATACATGTAATAAGAAAATTTAGAACACACTGGTTAGCTAAGACTTCTAAATGTCCAGTCCAAGTGATGAGAATAGTGAGTTATCTCACTGTCAGCATCGCATTTCAGAAAACCTAATATGAATGCATATTAGTGTGTTTAGTAACTAATAAACAGTACGTAATGGATGGCACGATCCATGTCACTGTTCATGTATTAGTTATGTTGGATCACAATGTTGGCCTACAAAGTGGTTGACAGAGCCTGGCTTCATGCTGTGAAATCTGTTTTTTGTTTGTTTTTTTAATTATTGGACAGGTCTCACTATGTAGCCCTGGCTGTCCTAGAACTCACTGTGTAAATCAGGCTGACCTAAAATTCACAGAAATCTGCTTGCCTCTGACTCACGCAATTTGTCTGCATGTACATTTGCACACCAGAAGAAGGTACTGGATCCCGTGGGACCATAGTTATAGACAGTAGTGAGCTGCTACGTGGGTGCTGAGAATTGAACTCAGAACCTCTAGGACAACAGCAAGTGCTCATAACCACCAAAGCATCTATCCAGCCCCCGTGATGGGAATTTAAAGACTGAGTTTTTCTACTTTCTGGTACCTACAAAAAATGTCCTGTGTCCAACTAACCTATTGACCCAAAGCTTCTGGATAAGTGTCTTAGCAAATGGGTCATATCTATTGTGAGATCCTGACTTGTCAGCTTTGGAAGCAGCAACTCAAGGTGTGGAATCCCATTCTTTTCCATCTCCCTTAGGCATACATTTAAAAGTGCCTCACTCCTCAAGCTTTTTAGATCTTATGCCTGTTACTCATTCTCCCAGTCCTTCATTCTGATTTGGTTGATCTTGTCAGCAACGGGCAGCAAGGACAGCAGCCCAGCCCCACACTGTCACCCATAGCTCAATGAGTTAGTTCCCTTTCCTCTCAGAGCTCCACCTACAGGCAAATCCAGGAGCCCTGCCTTCACTACAGAAGAGAGTGTCAGAACCAGCCAGTCTTAAGTAGACCATGGTTGGGGGTGGTCTATGAAGAGATTACAATATAGATTTTAAGCACAAGGAGAAAAAAAGGAACTCGGGAAAGGTCAGACATCCAAGCATGGGCACGAGTATCTCAAAGGACAGTTATATTTAGGCACTTTACAAGAGGCATAGAGGATTCGGGCGGCTTTCAAGCTACATCTCTAAAGGTAATGAAGTCACTCATTTTGTTGGTGGTGGTGGTACATTGCTCAAAGAGTGTACTCCGTAAGGACAAATGGTTATGACAATGTTGTTGAGGTAAGTGACACCTAATGATGGATAAGTGACAGCTCTGAAAGTTTCAAGACAGGCTGGTCCTACATAGACACAAATGACTCTAGGAATCACAGAGGCATGTTATCACTCAAGCTTACATATCATTCTAGCCCCAAGCAATCCCTGAGGACTCTAGGAGGGGACACTGTCTCTGTTCCAAATATCCTTATCAGATATTTGAGGTTCCTGGCTCTGTGAGCTTGAAAGCCAAGTCATTCCAGTGTGACAGCAACCCCCTTCAAGACCTTTTACTATTCTGTCTTTTTGTTCAATCTCAACAACATCTGCCCTGAAAGGTTGCTTAAATATTTGTTAGGGTTAGACCAGAAGCAACAAAACCTCCAAATTAACAAAAGAAAAGTAAATCTGGGCATGCCTTTAATCTCAGCAGAGGCAGGCGATTCTCTGTGAGGCCAGCCTGGTTTACAAAGAGTCCAGGACAGCCAAGGTTATACAGAGAAACCCTGTCTCAAAGCAAAACAAAAACAAAGAGAAAAGTAAGGAACTGGGTGTCCCAAAGACGCAGAGACATTAATGATCTCAGATATTTGGGTTCTTATTGCGTGACCCTTCTTGACCTCCACTCTCTCGGCCATTTCTCAGCCTAGAGTAGTTATTCCACCTCCAGATGTCACGGCTACAATCCAATAAGCAGAAAGAAGGGCAGGCATGTCGACTGAGTATGTCTCCTCAGAGTCCCTGCTAAGACCTTTCCCCACTGGGATTAGGAAGGAACCCTGGGAGGTTAGGAATGTGAGCCCCGAGGAAGGGTGTTCTAGTTACGGTTACCGTTGCTGTGGTAAAACACCATGACCAAAGCAAAGAGGGAAGAAAAGGTTTATTTGGCTTACGCTTCCACATCACTGTTCATCATCGAGAAGTTGGGACAGGAATGCAAACAAGGCAGGAACCTAGAGGCAGGAGCTGATGCCAAGACCATGGAGGGGTGCTGCTTACTGGCTTACTCCCTGTAGCTTGCTCAGCCTGTTTTCTTATAAACCCCAAAACAACCAGCCCAGGGATGGCCCCACCCACAATGGGCTTGCCCCCCCCCCACTGATCACTTATTGAGAAAATGCCTTATAAGCCAGGCAATGATAGCACACACCTTTAATCCCAGCACTCCGGAGGCAGAGGCAGGCATATCTGAGGCAGGTGGATTGTGAGCTTGAGGCCAGCCTGGTCTACAGAGTGAATTCCAGGATAGCCAGGGCTACACAGAGAGACTCTGTCTAGAAAAAAAGAAGAAAAGAAAAGAAATAATCAAACTTTCCCCATATCTTCATGAAAGTGACAACCAAGTCTCAGGCCACTATAATTCCATTTCCTTCTGCAGTGACACCTATCATTCTCTGATGACTCCTGTGTATTTGGAGCTAGGTGTTATGGATGTACAATTGAGGTGTAGGGTAAATTGTAGCCTTCTTTTTGATGAACAAATCTATTGACTCTCCCCTACTCATATAGTAAGTTATAAAGGAACAAAGGTCAGAGGTATCTGAAAGAACAAAAAGGAATAAAGTTTGAAGGACTCAGTTCTTCTTTTTCTCACCTTACCTTCAGTAGCATGTCCTCAACAATCAACAACAGCCTTTCTGCTTCATTGATCTTGCCCATAAACTTCAGGAAACTTCCAATAAAGAGTATTATCCTACATTTATCAGCAGTAGTAATCTGGGAGAGGCTGCACTCCAGCACTAGAGCAGGAAGAAAAGGAGAAAGGCCTGAAGCACACTGGGAAGGAACATCTGCCTCTGCTTACTCCTGCTGCAGGACTCCACAGCTGCATTTTTCACTCCTTCTGTTGGGAGCAATTGGTTGTTTTCTTTGTGACAAGTTCTTTGGGTTTTGGAGTTGACATCTCATTCTACAGCCCAGGTTAGTCTTGAACTCACAATCCCCTACCTTTGCCTCCAAAGTGCTGGGATCATAGACGAATACCATCATTTCAGGCTTCAATTTCTTGTTCAAGACACCAGCACATTTTGTTACAAATATTGACAAGTACTTTAAATGATGTCATCAAAATTTATAATAGTATTGTACAACTAGTTGTATAAATGTTGAAATCTAAAGAGCTAAACAATTATATAGCTCAATCCATGTATTCTTATCATTTGTGTTTTAGAATGATTTTTTTTTCAGGAAAAAAGTTTATATTTCTTACACCATTCTGCCCTCTGTTACAACTATCTTGAAATGCTAAATTAAATGGAAAGAAAATGTTAGAACAAAACACATGCCAGGCCTAAAGAACACAGGCAGGTCTGTAACCCTCCTTTCCCCACTCAGAAGGCTGAGCTGGGAAGGTCACAAAGTTAAAAGTTAGCGGGACTACAGCGGAGTTCAAGGACAACCAGGGCAACTTCATGAGACATTGTCTCAAAGTCAAAAGTCAAAAAGGCTGGAGAGAGCACCTGTCTAACACATACAAGTGCTACAAAAAGGAAAGCAATAAAAATAAGCAAAATAGGGGATGCACACTTGCATACTATATAGTTATATACAAACAAAAATATGTAAGATCATGGATCTAGCTCAATGCACGGTGTGACAACTGATAGCTTTGGCACTGCCCTAACTTTTCTCATCGTATGTTCTGGAGTAGCGGTTCTTAGCCTTCTTAATGCTGCAACCCTTTAACACAGTTCCTCATCCATAAAATTATTTTGTTGCTTCTTCATAACTGTAATTTTGCCGCTGTTGTGAATCTGAAATGCAGGCTATCTGATATGTGACCCCAAAGGGGTCATGACCCACAGGTTGAGAACTGCTGTTGTAGGCTTTATATTACTACATGTTTGTTTATTTCAAATTACTGAGTCTAATGTATTTGTCACAAATGATTACTTATCCTGATGGGTTGTTTTGCTTCTGTTGGGGGCCACTGTGACCTGTGTAATTCTTGCTTTTACAGTCATACACAGAGTAAGCATGTGCTGTGTACCTACTGTGTGTCGGGCAGCATGCTAGGGTCTGAGAAAGCAGACAGGCTGTATTCCTAAGGACTGTTGAGTAGCTGGAGTTAATGTGCTTCAGGCCAGAGGGCAAAAGCACAAACAGCCACATGAGACAGATGCAGAGAGCAAAAGTCAAACATATTTGTCCAAAGTAGCCAGCAAAGCAACGGGACCTGAGGTTAGAATAATAATCCAGGAGTAGAGACAGGAAATGGAGACACCGCAGAACAACAACAGCTATTAAGAACAGTCAACAGGTGAGGAAGAACAGCAGAAGGATGTGGAATTTTGCATTCCAAGGAGATTAGGAGGACCAGATGCCTGTCAAGGATTCGGACTTGAATGAATAATGTAAACAAAAATTCCTAAAAAGCTGTGTCAGGCTGTCGATAAAAATTCCTGAAAGGAGTCTAAGTCCGAAGAGACTGATGTCACAGTTGGCATTTCAGTACAGTAGAGAGATTGGAATTTCAAAGGTTCGGGCTAGCTACTTTATCTTGGGCTAGTTTTAGCCTTCCGGAACAGCCACTCTGTACTGAACACTCCATGATAATAAATAAAAACCCCTTAGAAGCTATTAACTTAGCAGAACACTAACATCCACTGGTCCAGGAGCTAAGAATGTCATCAGATAGCATCTTAGGCCTTGCAGGACAGCTTCTCCATCTCACTGTGCCTGCCTCTATGATGTAACCACCAATGCATTTTCAGCTTGCCTCGATTAAAAACTTCTTTTGTTCAGTAAAACTATAAAACCTTTATAAAACTGCTTTCACGTTGGAACATGAAATTTGGGGTAACCTAAATCTATGTTTCTGGGCCATGGTCACTCAAAATGGCTCCAAAATAAACTCCTATTTCCTTTAAAATGAGAGTTGTAGCCAGGTAGTGGTGGCACACGCCTTTAATTCCAGTACTTGAGAGGCAGAGGCAAGTGGATCCCTGTGAGTTTGAGGCCAGCCTGGTCTACAAAGTAGGTTCCGGGACAGTCAAAGCTACGCAGAGACCCTGTCTTACAAACAAACAAACAAGCTGTGGTTTTATAATGACTTTTCCACCCTGCTTTATCAATCACTTAAAGTACTTCAAGAAACCATCAGGGACCCTGCCTCCCACTGACCACATCTCCATGTTCACATACTCAGCACCACAGAAGAGATGAGAAAATAGTTTTTCTTATTATAAAACTAATACGTTCTGCCATTCTCCACTCTTATCCATTGAGAGTATTCAACTTCATTTTGGAATTTTTTTACCTATCTTCTACATACAAACAGACACCTTTAAAAATTGAATTGGGATCTAGTGTGGCTTTAAACACCCCAGGTGTGGGATGTGGGTCTGATTCAGATGGTCCACAGCAGCAAACTATTTGCCTCACGCTGGCTCTGAGAGGATGTTCTTTGCCAGCTGCAGATAGTTTAAATCTGAGGACTCTGGAGAGAGAATAAATGCCAGAGCCCAAAGAGTGTGGAGCTCCCAGAAAGAACAAGGCTGCTGCTGTTTCCCCCTTCTGTGGCTCCTGGTTGCTGCTGATGCAGTGGACAGGAAGTTGGAGATCTCCTGAAACAAGGATTGGACTGGCTCCAAGGAACCCAACAATCCTAACCAGCAGGAAACAGCTAAGAGAACTGAGCCTCCTCTCCCACTAACCCTTTCCCTCTCCTACCTGGTGTTGGGATGTTGGAGGGGATTGGGATGGAGTAGGGAGAAAGAGATATAAGAGAAACATAAATAAAAGAGTTTTTAAAAAGTACATCAACAGGGATCATCCTCCAAATTCTACACATATGCTTTCTATAAAAATAAAACAAAAACACAGGGGCCTAGAGAGATGGCTCAGTGATTAAGAGTCTCTTCAGTAAGACTTGAGGGTTTTCGCAAGATAGAGAAGTGAGCAACTAAGATATTCAAGGCTTGTGACAGCCTTAGTTGAAGAAGGTGATTCTGGACATACAAAAGGAGGACCTGATGGAGGTGTGAGATTTGATGTGAAAGACTTTACAGAGTAAAATCCCAGAAATGGGCTGACTAGACCTGAGGGATGAGGAAGAGGTTGGTGTTGAAGAAAAAAAAAAAAACCAGGACTCTGTGCAGAGAAGCCCCAGGGTCTGAAGAACAGAATGAAGGTTTGGTTAGACAGCTTCACCAGAGTCCTGTGGACGTCCTCACCTATTTCGAAGGGACACATTTGGTACTAGGCCCTTCTGACTCAGAAAGTCCTCTGTGAGATGCTAAGTGACTTCCTCCAGAGGTCTCTACTCCCACAGGCCCCTCCATCACCATGAGAACCAAGTGCCTTTATCCTACCTCGGAGAGCTCATCAGCTTCCTGTGGTACACCGACCAGCCCCTCCTGACCATCAACACACGCTATCCTTATGAGTATTCCTAGGGAAGTTGCAGTTGAATTTCAAGATTACATGAGTATCTGCATAATAATAAAAGGCCAAAGGCTAGATGTTCAAGGACATGTCCATTCCTAACTATCCAGGAGACAGACCTTGGGGAATCCTGCCCCACCTGAGACTCAGTGTCCTTTATTTCACCCAGGATGGTACTAGTCAGAGAACTATCACAGTTTCCAAAGTGACACATCTATAAAGTCTCTGACTAGCATTTAGTATCCCCAGCAATGGGCGTCTGAGGCAACAGGGCTGAAATTTTGAGTGACAGCCACCTGACTGCACAGCAAGTTCACAGTCACCCTGTCTCACAAAAAGAAAAGGATCAGAGTCCATTATTAGGGTTTCCAGACTGTAAGCTGGGAAGGCAGGGACTCTGTCTGCCTTGTTCAGCACTGTGTCATTAAGTCTACAGCCAGGGGAAGTGCTTGGCTAACCTAACCTATTGTAAAAATGAATATTACCAGGCAGTGGTGCATGCCTTCAATCTCAGCACACAGGAGGCAGAAGCAGACAGATCTCTGTGAGTTTGAGGCCAGCCTGGTCTAGAGAGAGAGTTCCAGGACAGCCAAGGCTACACAGAGAAATCCTGTCCTGAAAAACCAAAAGAAGAAGAGGAGGAGGAAAAAGAAGAGGAAAATTATCACTCTGTTTAATAAGCAGGAAACATAGGATCGGGGCAGGGATGAGCAGACAAAGGACCTACTTGTGGGATACTGGGGTAAAAAGTACTGTCCAAAGTATTATCCAAACCTCAAAATGAGGCAGATTCTCAAAGAGCAGCTCTCTGCTTGGCCTGAGACCACCTTCAATGGCACTATCAGGCCTGGGTCATGGAAGGAGGACACAGCATTCAGCACAGGGAGTAGGCTACAGTTGAGTTTTATGTACTTAATCTGAGGCATCAAAGGTATGAACAAAATTTCTGAAATGCTCCATGTGCCTGTGAATGAAAACTCCTGAAAGGAGTCCGTGTCTGCAGAGCCTGGCTGGCTGATGAGAATCTCAGCACTGCAGAGAGGTTGGAGTGCTGCAGTCAGGAGACTAAGGCCAGGAGACTTAGGCCAGCTCTAGCCCTCCTTGCCCACCTGTGTCTGAACTAACATCCGTGAGTAACAGATTAAAAGCTTTCGGCATCTATGAGCTTAGCAGACCAGCTTCCACCGACCCTAAAGCTAAACATGCCATCAGGCAGGGTCATAGGCCTGCAGAAGAGCTTGGCCATCTCATTGCGCACTTCCCCACCCCCAAGATTTACTTATTTATAAGAGGGCACCAGATCTCACTGGAGATGGGTGTGAGCCAACCACGTGGTTGCTGGGAATTGAACCCAGGTCCTCTGGAAGAGCAGACTGTGCTCTTAACCTCTGAGCCATCTCTCTAGCCCCATCTGACATATTTTAAACTTGGCTTGATTTATAATTTTCTTTGTTCTATAAAACTATAAAAACTGTTTCCACACTGGAACATGAAATTTGGGGTAACCTAAATTTGTCTTCCCCAGGCCACAGTCATTCAAAATAGCTCCAGAATAAACTGTCTCTTACTCCTTGTGAGATGAGCACCTGAGCCAGAGCACTGTGGTTGGCATACCTGAGAGTGTGGGTGGCTTCCTCATTTTCTGGTGTTGTTCAGATTCTATCTTGGCAGCAGAGACCAGAAAAGCCCCAGATACATCACTGCCAGCTTCCAGCAGCACATCCCAGTAATGGATGAGGTGTAGCCTGGTCCACAAACTCGGGTTTTGGATTTTTGATATGAAATCTGTGATACTTGTGACATAGACAATTATGTTAGTACTCATACCACAAAGGAAACTATTTGTACTTCCCACATTTCACTAGCCTAACCATAACCAGTTTTTTTTTCCAGCAGTATCTCACACATTCTAGACCAAGGAGGACCTTGAACTTCGGATCTTCCTGCCTTGGTCTTCCAAATGCTGGGATTACATATATGTGCCACCATGCCCAGTTTAAGCAATCAAATACAGGGCTTTGTATATGGCAAGAATCTTAGCTGGGAAAACATTCTACTAGCTACCCCCCGTAACACACAAACATTTCTATCCACACCCCTGTGTGTGTGTGTGTGTGTGTGTGTGTGTGTGTGTTTGTATATGTGTGCCTCATAGACTTTAATTAGGTTGCTTGTACAAGTGGTAGGAGCATCTTATCAATGACTACACAACTGAAAAAAAAAAAAATACACCCCTCCCCTAGCAAGCATTAACTGCCAACAGAGCCTCAAGGAGAGTAAGAGACCTTATGGATCCCTCCCCTCTCCATGATGAAATGTCGATGGGCCCAGTCATGTGCAGGTAACCACGGGTGCAGGAGGGTATTTGTACAATAGTTACATCGTGCCCTAAAGATATGTTCTGTCCATCTTTGTCCCCATCCTTGGCTCCTACATTCTTTCTGCCCTCTCTTCCATAATAAACTTGCTTAGTTAATGCAGAAGCAAGGAAAGAAGGGAGAAAGGAGAAGGTGAAGGGAGAGAAGCAAGGGAAGAAGAGTCCAGTCACCAGCACAGCCCGTCTTTGAGCCTTTCTGGCTCTTGCCTTTGTCCTCTTCTCCATGAACGCCTGGAGGAAAGCATACGGAGTGAAGGGGCGACTGCTGCAAGCGCCAGACAGATCACACAGAGCACCCTGGGGATCCACTCTTACCATCAGAGTGGATCCCGCACTAAGGCCTCATCTGTGAGTAGACGAGGGCTTTGCTCAGGGAAACCCTGCTGCCCATGAGAGCCCAAGATTCCGTGTAAGGCTAGCAGGACTCACCCAGGGCTCGTGATGAAGCCACATAAGCTTTCCCAGGACCTGCTCATCTTCATGTGCCATGGCAGCTCCTGATACACTCTCCAGAAAAGGGTTTGCCGCTGGAAGAACCTCATCAGGACCTGGTGGAAATGTGCCTTCTTGTGATTCATGGCGTCCTGGGACTCATTTGGACTGCTCTCTCTGACTGGAGTGATTACACCTATTTCAAAACCAATTGCAGCCTCACAGTTCTGACTTGTTTCATGTAGAAAAACACTAACACAAAAATACAGCAAGTCTGTTGCTATAATTAAGGAAGGAATAGTTGAGGTATCGTGGAAAATGGCTTATTCAGAGCAAGGGAAATGACCCAGTAAAACAGTTCTTGTTGAACAACTATGAGGCCTGGAGTTTGGATGCCCAGAACCCATCTAAACCCTGGCAGGTGTGATGGCTCACCTGTCATCACAGCAGGGAGGCACAGAAAGGGCACATCCCCGGAGCAGGCTAGCTGGCCCGCTGGCTAGACTAGCCAGGTCCATGAGCTCTGGGCTTAAGTGAGAGACCCTGCCTCAATATATAATGTGAAAAGCAGTTAAAGAAGACATCTGATATCAACCGCTGGCCACTACACGTTTACACACACATGCAAGGCACACACACATGCAGACATGTGGCCACAAATGCACATTTGGATGACAAAAAAAAGGGAGGGGATCTTTTGCAATATTCTGTTTTCTCCAGAAAGTATTTATAGTTATGATTAGAGGATAAATGTATAGGCACTCCATGTTGAGTTTCCCATCCCCACTCCCATAAAGAAACACTTTCAACTACTTTTCTATTTTCCTCTTGTTTATTTGTTTTAAGAAACAAAATAGGAGAGTGCCATTATAGAAGGGATGGGAAAGTAGTTAGAGATACAAAGATATTATTTAACTTTATTTCATGTGTGTGTTGCCTGGTGTATGTCTGTATACCACATGTGTGTAGTGTCTACAGAAGTCAGAAAGGGGCATCAGATGTCCTAGAACTGGAGTTACAACAGTTGTTAACTGCCATGTGGCTGCTGGGAGTCAAACCCAGGTCCTCTGGAAGAGCAGCCAGGGCTCTTAACCAGCCCTACATTTCTATTTTGAGGACACACCGTGGCTGCTACCTGAACAAGCACTCTCTAATGTGTGAGGGTAAGCATTTTGGAGACTTGATTCTTCTTCCTGGCTCTCCTAAGGGCCCAGTATAACAGAGCAAGCAAAAGAGAATGTGATACTAAAGTCAGGATTATTGTGTGCTCATTCCCAGAAAGAGGCGGCTCTGGCAGCTGCAGCACTCAGAAACAAGCCTCTCAAAAGTTCAGAGCCTTGACATATCTGTCATTGAAAATTAAAATACTCAGCCGGGCATGGTGGTGCACACCTTTAATCCCAGCACTTGGGAGGCAGAGGCAGGTGAATCTCTGTGAGTTCGATGCCAGCATGGTCAACAAAGTGAGTCCAGGACAGCCAGGGATACACAGAGAAACCCTATCAAAGAAAATTAAAATATTGAAGGTATTTTTATATTTTTTTCCTTGACACTCTTTCTTGCAAGATGAATAGAACACACACTAGATGGTATACCAAGCCCAGTTATTATAAAACTGTAACAAGGGAGAACCCACTGTTTAACCTTCTGCATTTGTGCTGAAACAGTTTCCAGGTCACCCACACATGTGGATAGATTTTGTTATTTGGTCAAAGGTGTGCACATATGCTCTGGTAAACAATGCAACATATATGAGACCTGTGGAAGAAAAAGAAAACTCCCCTCCCTCGCTAGATGATGAAGGCATTTTTTGTGGATGGTACATTGAGAAAGTAAAGTAGGAAGTGAGAGAGAAAAATAAATGGGACAAATAATATGCTAACTCCCAAACTTAGAAGTGTCCAACACAAAGGCTGAAGTTACCAACATTTTGGGCTGTGGTGTGGCCCACTGGTAGAATGTGTACTTAGCTCATACAGCCCTGGATTCAATCCCCAGCACACATTTAAGGAGGGGGGTTACAAGATGTTGTAGATAACACCACATTGGTTTGTTTTTTCTTAAAGATGTATTTATTGTGTATACAATGTTTTATCTGCATGTACATCTGCAAGCCAAAGAGGGCCCTTAGATGCCATTATAGATGGTTGTGTGCTGGGAATTGAACTCAGGACCTGTGGAAGAACAGCCAGTGCTCTTAACCTCTGAGCCATCTCTCCAGCTCCACCACATTTCATTTTATCATTTTACAAAATAGTCTCATGAGGCAGACATGACTATGACAAAGCTCCTCAAGCCCAGAGAGATCAGGTAACGTGTCTCTTCCAGCTGCATGTGGGAACGTGAGCAAAGCTCTGACCCTGCATCGTCTTGGCTTACAGAATACAGCAGTTCTCAGGGGCAGACTTAGACTTAGAACATGTGTGTGCTATTAGGACTCACGGTAGGTTAGACTATGCTAGACTGACAGCTGCAAATCTCAATGGCATGAGAGAACAAGGGTTCATTATGTCTGCCTTCTGATTGGGGGCCTAAAACTGTAAAGCAGGTTGGGAAATGCCAGAGGAGAATCATCTTGAATGTTGCATGGCCATTCAGTTATATAGTCCCAAATAGCAAAGGTACTAGAGAACTGTCATTCAAATGGCTGCCATGGGAGATTATCAGGTAACACATGTGATGCTGCACTTTACGTGAGCTCCCATTACTCTCAAGGGTAACGATAACTTATTTTGAAAATGAGGCACGGGGTTTTAAAAAGTTAAGCGCTTCACATAAGATCTTACCAGTTCTGTAAGAATCCAAAGTCATTGTTTGTAATTCTTTAAAAAATCATTTTTAGAAGATGCCATTTCCAGGAGGCAGAGGCAGGCAGATCTCTGAGTTCAAGATCAGCCTGGTTCTGGAAGTGGGGGACAGGGCCTGGCAATCTCCTGTAAGGAGCTACCACATTCTCAGTCTGTTCCTGAGGAACAACCCTGGCGAGCTCAACCCCTGAAGCCAGGTCTCCTCTAATGGACATAACTGCTGTCCTGCAATTTACTCACTCATTTCCACTAGAGAGATCCTGCACAAGTTTTCCCTTCGATGTGACTGTCTCCCTCCCTGAGCCCGAAGGCATCTGCACAGCCCCAGCTCCTCACCCAGCAGCTTGTACTCCACCACGTTCCGTAAGGACTGGTGGCTGAAGTAGAGGAGGCCATTGGGTTTCTCCTGGATCCAGTGTTTGGTGGCATTGCGGAAAGCTGCCCAGTGCACTGCCGTCACTTTTTGTTGGTTCTTGTAGCCCAGCATGTCCAAAAGCTCGAGCAGTTCATCCTCAGCCAGCCCACAGTGGGAAATGCAGAGCAAGCACAGCGCGTCTGCCACCCAGCCACTCAACCCTGTGCAGCCACAAAAGGAGCGAATGAGTGGGCTGAAGCGCAGTCTGCAGCCTCCCTCCTCTAACCTAGTGCTGAAATGCCCCCATCTTACAAAAGAGGGTGTGGCAGGTTGAATAAGTTACCCAAAGTCACCCAGACAGAAGCGCTGGGAGGGATTTGAACCCAGTCTGCCTTCACAGTCCATGGAGTCACCTACTCTTAGTAGTGCCACAACTGATACTGGGTATAAGCAGCCAGGCTTCCTGGTCACCATGCTAAGCATTCTGCCCAGTAGTGTCTGTCTGTTAGGACAAGTTATTCTCCTGGAGAAGTGCCACACTCACAGACACCATTTAAGGGCTCCTTAAGGTTTGCTCCTATCATTGGCTTTATGATCTTCCAGCTATAGAGATCCTTCAGATCCCAAGGAAGCCAGGAATCAAGGTCCGATGAAGGGACCCATATCACCCACAGCCTCAGGTAAAGGCAGATCTGAGGCCGAGCTGATAAAGCTTCCGCTGCATGTGACTGAACTCAGCCAAGCTCTTCCTAGACCTGTGGCCTTGGAGCCCTGTGGACCCAACGGGGTTGTTGGCCAATGCTGAGGAGGCAGCAGTCACTGGGGGAAGGCGCCCCGGGATGTACTGTGCAGTCCTGGGGATGTAATTGCACGGAACGGGTCAGGTGGCCTGTGCAACTCTTCAGGGAACCTCACTTCCACCTCTGTGGAGGTGGGGGAAGGCGCAGGAAACTCAAAATCCGCTTTCTTGGTAGAAATGTAAAGGGGGAAGGCTGTGCGGAACCATGCAACACAGAGGTAAAGAATGCACCCTGTTCTCATCCACCTCTCCAATTTTGTTCAAGCCTAGGTTCCATGTCCTGAGGAGCAGAATGACGCAGGGAAACAAAATGAGGATAGCATGTTTCCAAACAAACTTCAGAGGATACAGTCCAGTGACTTGAGAGAATAAAAACTTTCCAGAGCCTGGTTCCTAAATATCATAAACAAATTCCAGAATACATTGTCGACTTCCAACAGTAGACTCACGAGATGAGATAACGACATTGCTTGTCTTCTCCCCATGAGGGAGGAAAAGAGTTCCTACAGAACGAGAAAGGTCTAGGAGAGAGCTGAAAAGGACATCAGGACTCAAGATGCCAGCGGAGCCAGGTGTGGTAGTCCCAGCACTTGGGAGGCAAAAGCAGGTGGAGCTCTGTGAGTTCAAGTCCAGCCTGGTCTACATAGCAAATGCTAGACTAGCCAGAACTACATAGAGAGATCCTGTCTCAAAATCAAAACACCAGCACTAGGAGGCAAAGGTAAGTTTGAGACCAGCCTGGTTTAGAGAGCAAGTTCCAACACAACCAAGGCTACACAGAGAAACCCTGTCTCGAAAAACCAAAAAGAAAAGAGAGAGAGAGAAGAAAGAAAGAAAGAAAGAAAGAAAGAAAGAAAGAAAGAAAGAAAG